TCTTAGATGGCTGCTAGATTATTTTAGTTGCTCAGGCCTCGCACTTGTAGTTAACATTGATTTTATCTTGTGTCCCCTAAAGCCTTACATCTGGTTTCCAGTTTCCTTTCTGGTATCAACTTCCATTACTCTTCCTCCCTTTCTCTTGGCTACAACCATGGTGGCCTCTATGCCGTTCTGCAAACACTCTCAGATCGTATCTTTGTACTTGAAAATTTCTACCTGAAAATCTTATCCCTCAGATGCCAGCATTTCCTTTCTCCTTTTCCTTAAGGTCTTTGCTCAATACTTTTTCCTCCTTAGCCTTTATCGCTATCCAATATATTATAGTTTTTATTTAATATCTGTTGTGTGTCTACCCTGTTAGAATACAAGCTATATAATAGAGATTTTTGTTTTTGACTGTTGTACTCCTAGCACCTAGAACAGTGCCTATAATATGAAAGGTACTTATAAGTATTAGTGAAAGGACTTGTGAATGAATGAATGAATGAATGAATGAACAAATACTGAAAAGGGGAGAATGACAACTATGGACATGACTAAATGAACAGAAAGTCTAAGGGGTTATTGAGTTTTCTAACTAGCTATATGGTCTTTATAATCTTTAGAGGGACTGAAGATAATCAGTTTTCATGAAAATCAGAATGTAAGAAAATCCAAGAAGAAGAGAAAGAACTTTTGAAAATTAGAAATATGACTGCTGTAATTTTTAAATTAACTGAAGGAAAAGAAGGCAAAATTGGGGAAATCTCATAGAACTTAGAACAACAACAACAACAAAAACCAATGGAAAAAGAGAAAAAGATAAAAGAAGCAGAGAACCAATTCCAGAAAAAGAAAGCAGAAGGAAAAAAAAATAAAATAAAATTATTAAGGAAATAATTTTTTAAATTTCTCTAAGCTGAAGGAGGGTCTTTATTAAAAGCACTCATCAAATACCAAGCCGAAATTAGGAAATAAAACCCATAGCTAGCCATGTTTCATAAATTCCTGCAACAGGAAGGATAAAAGGAACATGCTTTCACTGAGGGAAAACTGTTTTAAACTAAAAAATTTCTTAAAGATTAAAGGGCAAGAATCAGACTAGCAGCAGACTTCTACCTGTGAAACAATGCTAACTTTTAAGACCTTTAAGTATTTTTCATTTTTTAAAGCTATAAAACCATATAAATAAATTTTATGCTTCATATATTCCCTTTCCCAGTACCACCATCCATCATTTTTAAGGAAGATAATTTTTGAACCTAGAATTTCACATTCAGCTAAATTATTAACCAAATAGGAGGGCTGCATAAGGTCCCTTTCAAATAGACGCAGACTCAGAAACTTTACTTCCCAGGTGCCTGTTCTGAGGTAATCATTTGAAGATATTCTCCAACAAAACCAGGATGTAAACTCAGAAAGAGAAAGGTATGGAACTAATTAAGGAAAAAAGAAATCCCAAAATGAGAGATGTTACAGAAACTAACATCAAGAAATTAATTAAATGGCTCCATGAAAAATGTCTCCAAAAACGAATGGAATGTATTTCAAGCAACAGACAAAAGGACTAAGGAACTGGAAAATATTAAATCACTTGATAAAGAAACTGATTTTTTTCTCAATGAGAAAAAGTAAAAGTAAATAGAAACTCCAGAAAAAAACAAAACCTGAATAAGAAACCATGGTCCAAGTACAAAGCAAATTAAAATATGACATTATATGAAGCTAATAGACTATAATGTTAGAAATTTTGTCCTTTGAATGGCGCAAGAGTCCTAAGACTAAAACTATGAGTGAGGAGCTAGGATTAGAAAACACTAATGATCTCTGCATTAACAACTATTTTATATAGAATGATTAAAAACACAGAATGTATTAAAAGTGGTGTCCTTTGAAAAGTAGAATTAAAAAAATAAATAAAACACTTGTTTGCATATTCCATTTGATTAAAAATGTAACATCCCCAGGAGGTGGATTTTGCAGCAACCCAAAATAGCACCACTGGACTCGAGCCGGGGCAACAGAGTCAGTAAGACCTGTCACAAAAAAAAATTTTTAAAAAGGTAACATCATACAAAATAAGAATGAAGGTAAAGTTTACTAAAACTGGTGTGTAAAAGTGTGAAATATCTGCTCATAAATATCTGCTCATGAATTGCCAAGAGAAAAACAGTAACTTCAGTGGACAAACGTGGGGGATCACACCTTAATCAAATAATCAAACTTAGTTGACATGGACCATGGAGTGTCAATAAGAGATGAAGTAAAGAGAGGGAAAGAGAACAAGAGACAGAGAGTATCAATAAGGATGAAGAAAAGGTGACATTCTGCCATCTCCTTTATTGTAGAAAAGGTTCTATTTTCAACTTTTATTCTCACTTTTGAGTTATTAAACAGCATGTTTCATGATTTTATAAAGTCACCTATATTAATGGCTCTGAAGTTACTTGTTTCCAGAATTGAATTCTTTTCTAAACTTCAGAGCTATATTTCTCAAATATCTCTAGATAGATATCCGTAACCTTTATTTATTCAGATTCCTCACATTCACTATATCAAAGCCATTCTCTTCAAATTCCTCTCCAACCTAGCTCTCCTCTGACATTCCTTTTCAACTCATAACATTCATATATACTTTCTTTTTTCTTTTTTGAGACAGAGTTTTGCTCTTGTTGCCCAGACTGGAGTGCAATGGCGCAATCTCGGCTCACTGCAACTTCCGCTTCCTGGGTTCAAGCAATTCAATTCTCTTGTTTCAGCCTCCTAAGTAGCTGGGATTACAGGTATGTGCCACCATGCCCAGCTAATTTTTTTTTCGTATTTTTGGTAGAGACGGAGCTTCACCATGTTGACCACGATGGTCTTGATCTCTGGACCTCGTGATCCACCCGCCTCGGCCTCCCAAAGTGCTGGGCACTGAGCCACCATGCCCAACCAACATTCATATATACTTTCATCCAAAAGAGATATCTCAGCCATCTTCAATTGCTTTCTCTCCTTTATCTCACACCTACTTCAATTCTATTTCAATTTTTTAAAATAGTATTAACTACCTACTATGTATTCTCTGTCTTATCAAATGTCAAACGAGAAAAAGTTAACAAGAAAATATTTTAAATTTTGTCACAAAATGTGGTTTAAATTCATTCTATCTTCTTTATTTTCAATGCCATAGACTTTGAATAGGACTTGATGTCTCCAAAATGTTCTAAATTATCTTCATACCTACAATAACTCTTCTCTCAAATCCCACAATGAAATTAGTTTTGTTTTGTTTTTTCTAAATCCTGAATTTGCTCATTTCATCACCCTGTAAAAACTAGCAATGGCATAGTTAATGTTAATGCCAAATGTAAAGGGATTAGTCAATGACTAGAAATAGTATTTTTCTATGATAATTAACAGTGTGTGATTTTAACATATGAGAACTTTTAGAACACATTTATTTTGGATAATTTTATTCAAAAAGATAAATCTGTTTTATATATAAAGTCCTAATACTGATTACAGAGAAACTAGCAATGAGTGTGCTCAATTTGTCTATTTTAGAAATTAAACCTAAATTTTATAACCTAAGTAAATATTTTGGTTCATTTTACTTTACAGAGATCGAAAGTAGACAATCAGAGCACTTTGTTGTGTGTGTGTGTGTGTGTGTGTGACGGAGTTTCGCTCTTGTTACCCAGGCAAGAGGGCAATGGTGCGATCTCGGCTCACCGCAACCTCCGCCTCCTGGGTTCAGGCAATTCTCCTGCCTCAGCCTCCTGAGTAGCTGGGATTACAGGCATGCGCCACCATGCCCAGCTAATTTTTTGTATTTTTAGTAGAGACAGGGTTTCACCATGTTGACCAGGATGGTCTCGATCTCTTGACCTCGTGATCCACCCGCCTCGGCCTCCCAAAGTGCTGGGATTACAGGCTTGAGCCACTGCGCCCGGCCCAGAGCACTTTTTTATATACATCTACAGTGAAATGTTTTTCTCCATTGTGTAGTTCTTGATAGTCCTTTCAAATTTAAAACTCATTTAAATCCAATTTGAATTACAGTTATTTTATACAGAAACAAATAAGCATATGGATATGTTATAATAAGAAAGAAAAACATTTTCCAAAAATATTCCTTGAGCATCAAAATGTTTGTACCCTTTTCACAGGTACAGCTCTAACAGAACATCTACATTAGACTGAACAGTGTAGACACAGAAGAGAAAGCATGGAAATTTGCTTTGTTTTGCAGTTATTACTATATGCAACTTTGAACTGTGTATTTACCATTAAACTAAAATGGACTCAAATGCCCAGGATAAACCCAGTATTCTTGAACCCATTTTCTTTTTTTATTCTTTCTTTAAAAAATAGTTTTAGAAATAGGGTCTCGCCATGCTGCCCAGCTGTTCTTGATCTCCTAGCCTCAAGCAATCCTCCCATCTTGGCCTTCCAAAACACTGGGATTACAGACATGAGCCACCTCACCCAGCAGGGAACCCATTTTCTAAGTAAAATAAGATTTACCATCAATCTTCATATAAATGTATGGAAAAATTATCTCATAGACCCTCATATAAAAGATTTTCTTCAAGAACTTGTAACTATAAGTAGCTCAGAAGTAACTTTAAGATATGACACCTACCAAAGAAAGATATTATAAAAAGAAGATCAGTGTTATGGTTTCCTGCCATAATACACACACATACAAACATACCCTAAAATTCTTCACAAATAACTGAGTTTTCTTTATGCAGAAAAGATATCTCATTTGAACAGAAAAACTTAAGTCTAAAGGGAAACCTGAAGTTTTGTTCATTCCTCTTATAATAGTTTTAAAAGCTGCTCTTTGAAAAGTCAGTACATTATTAAAAAGAAAATCAAAGGCAGCAGAAACAGCAAAAAATTTTAAACTATTACCTTCCTACTTAAACTACCTATATATGTATATTTTTTTAAATCTGAGGTAAGACATTTACATTGCGAACTTATTTTCCCATCAGAAGTTTAAAATTATAGCATCTACTTACCAACCCAACACAGTTGCTTAAAGCCACTTTAGTTGTACTACGTTGATCTTGCAAATATCCTGTGTAATGACAGTTGTCTAAAAAATCATGTTTCCAGTGGGGTCCATCTTTCCCCCAATATTCTACTGTAAAATGTTTGGACACAAAATCTGTATTGAGAGTCAAGTTTAGATGAAAGTGCTTGCCATAGGCTGAAAGTTTAAAAAATAACTTAGATACTGCCTGCTGTGGATCAATAGGGTCCATACTCCGTCTTCTCCTTGAGTGTTTATCATTTTTCACAGTAAAGCTGAGAAATGCTCCATTTTGATCAACCCTTATTGGAATAGTTAGCTGGTAGTGTTCAAGATAAGTCAGGAATTCCTCTTTGTAATCACAAGGCAGAGAATCCAGAAAAAAAAACACATGGAAGAAAAGAAAATTTAACGGAACAAAGAAGCAGCAATATAAACAACAACTATGTCAGTTAAAACTATGAATCATTATATGTGAGGTATGTACAAAAAAGTTATATTAAAAATGAAAGAATAAAAGTTTAAAATCTGAAGATTAAGTTGCAATTATTTTAATATTACTTATGGACTATTTTATTTTTTTAATTTGTAAAACATGGATCCTAAGAGCTAAATTCTACAAGAAATATGAAAATTTTACATTGAAATAAAAAACAATGAAAAGCACACATATGTAAAAGAAAAAAGTTCAGATAGAATCTGTTTTTGAAAGTTATCCAAAACAGAATCTCTATAGCCTTGTAGAAATTATTACTTTTTAAGAAATTGTCACATGGTGAAACCTTGTCTCTACTAAAAATACAAAAAATTAGCCAGGCGTGGTGGCAGGCTCCTGTAGTCTCAGCTACTCGCAAGGCCAAGGCAGGAAAATCGCTTGAACCCGGGAGGCAGAGGTTGCAGTAAGCCGGGATTGCACCACTGCACTCCAGCCTCGGGAACAGAACAAGACTCTGTCTCAAAAGAAAAGAAATCGTCAGTGGGAATGTAAAATGCTGTAGCCACTTTGAAAAACCATCTGACAATTCCTCAAAATTTTAAACATGGAGTTAATCATATGATCCAGCAATTCTATTCTCAGGTATATACACAATAGAAATGAAAATGCACATCCACATAAAAATTTAGATGTGAATGTTATTACCAGCATTATTCATAATACTCAAAAAGAGGAATTAAATTTCCATCAAATGATGAATAGAGAAACAAAATTTAGTATATCTACACAATGGAATATTATTTTACAACAAAAATGCAATACTGATGCATACTATGACATGAATGAACCTTCATAATAACTGTCTTGATAATCAAAGTTCATTATCTAACATTTAAAACATTATGCTAAGTAAAAGAACAGGTCACAAAATGTCATATATGATTGCATTTATATGAAATATTTAGAATAGGCAAATCTCTGAAGACAGAAGGTTTAAGGTTGGCTTCAGCTGGAGGGGAAGGCTGGATTGGAGGGAATTTGGGAGTGACCACTAAGAAGTATAGCCTTCTTTTTGGAGTGAAGAAAATGTTTTAAAATTGATTATGTTGGCAATGACACTAGTGCCAAAAAATAAAGTAAGATAAAATAGGTTATTGTGATAGTTGTACAATGCTGAAAACACTAAAAACCACTGAATTATATACCTTAAATGGGTGAATTATATGTTATGTATAGAAATATCTCAATAAAGCTCTTTAAAAAATAGCTTGACTAAAATTTCAGAGAACTATTAAACACATTTTCCTCACTTAGATGTGCTAAATATTATGCATCTACCTTCTTAGCCATACCTCCTTTCAGCTAGATTTACCACTAAGGGAAACCAAATGTCTGCTATTGCCTCAGTGTCTACACATGGAGTTTACCCACTATTATAAACTCCCATAAAACTATAACCAAATGTAAATAAATTAAAAGGCAGTATTTATTTCACTTCTTATGAATAATTAAGGTTCATACTAAATGTCATGGCTTCATTGATTTACTTTGAGAGCCATACTTTTTACACATGGACTTCTAGTCACATCAATCTGTAATAGTTTGAAAATCTGGTTCATTGGCACCAATAAATTATCTGTTGCTATGTATTCATGGCAGAAAAATCCAAAAGATATGCCCTTCAATAATTCTATAACAATTGGTCTGGTCCATGGAAAACAAAATGACATTTACTCCTGGGCCCGCTTTGTTAAGACCATTCCTATGATGTAAAGCTCAAGTTTATAGACTAAAATTATAAGGATTAGAACATGAAAAGTTGCACTTCTTACAACTCTCACTGTTTTATCCAGATTCTAGTCATTAGATCAGAATTCTTACATTTGGAAAAGTATTTTTTCACAAAGAGTTCATATTAAAAGGTCTTATATAATAATTGATCTGGTTTCTTCTTCCACAGCATATATGTTTGGATTCTCTTTGAACATGACCTTGCCCATAAGCTCTAGTAATGAACAAGCTTATTAAAGTTTAAGTTTCAGAAAAACAAGGCCTGGGGTCTATCATTTTCCAAGAAAGACCAGGCAACTCTAAAATCCCCTGTGTGTTAAATACTAGTAGGACAAGTTAAACGACACATAGCACTTAACATTTATGAAACTAGCACTGAACTGACACAGTAGGCCTCTATACCTATCACTACATATCAAAAAAAAAAAAAAGTATTCACCCAAACTAAATATGCAGAATCTTTTCTTGTCCACTTAATAGCAATATTTTGGGTCAGTTTCAAAAGCAAGAATCCTACCTTGAGAACTGTATGAAAGCCTGTGGTCACTATGAAATTCCGACGAAGCCATGATGAGGCTCAAAATCCAGGTCAACGTCTTCCACAAAATTTCCATAATTTAGAAAACTGGATGATTGTTTTTGAGGGCTACCTATGTGCTAAAGAGTCAATACCATACCAAAATCGAAGCATAACAATTTTATTTCTTTAAAACTTCTTGCGAATTAGTTATTAGATGTTCCACTGTTTAAGAGGCACTTTTATCCAACATCCTGCACTTTCTTCTATATCTGGATTCATTTTCTCAATCCAAAATGAAAAAATAATGATGGTAAAAGTTTTCATAAGCAAAGCATTAGGCTGATTAGTTACTAAAGTATGGCCATTTTTTAACCTAGAAAAAGAAAAATTTAAGTTAACTGAAAAATATCCAGAATGAAAAAATCCAAGTCCTATATATTACTGAATGCTTGCCAAAATACATAACTACAAAATAACATAGCTAAATTAGACCATTGTTATTCTTTATAGTCTAAATAAACATTCACAAGATTAGACACAGATTAGAGACTTAAATGGTTATCAGCATAATGCCAGGGCTACTTAATAATCAAAGAAGAAATCTAAAGAAAAATCATAATTCTGTTTTTAAAAACTTTGAAGATAACAATGATGGGCAGTGAGTTAACTTCCCTTTGATAAAATAAAAAGTAGGCTGACTTCACTACCTTAGTTCATTATATGTAAGTGACAAACAATATGTAATCCCATTCCATAACATGCTTTTTAAACACACTCATATCCAGATATTGTTGTGTTGCTTTATAAGGCACCCATCTTTTCTTTTCTGACAAAGTATATTTACAAATACAGTGACATTTAGCAGCCATCTGTGAATACTATGACAGTATCAGAAATTAAACTTCTAAAAAGTTGAACTATAACCCTTGACTTTACTTGGAAATCTTATGTGATTTATAAGGCAAGTCATGGGTCAATTTCAACTCTCTGGAATGTAACTTAAAAGAAAAGAAATTTTAAAAACTTCACTTCAGATATCATAATGGATTTTAAGTCCCATCTCATGTATTTGACTTTCAACTAACAATCTCACTCAGAGTCTGCATTCACACTTGATATAGAATAGCATACTTGGCTGCCTGATTTCCCTGTATACAGCAGATTAGAAGAAGAAAATAACTAAGAGACTTAAAAACTAGCCACAAATAGCAAAAACTGTGACACAAAAAAAGGATAAAAAACTAAAATGTAGTTTTAGAACCCCAAAGTAATATAATTTGGGGTAGAGGCAAATGGGTCTTACATAGTTTAACAGTTCCTATACTGTGTGTAACTATGTTATATAGTTCAATATCTGATATTCATAATACTATGCCTGAGTCCAAAATAAGAAGACAAATGCTTTTAATAAGATAAAGTACTGTTAATACATTAGGAAAATACACAAAATATATTAGAAAGATTTTCATTCCAAATCTCTAATATATGATATTTTCATATAATAGATGTTTACTATATATTTGTTGGTTAAAAAAATGGATGAGTAAAAGAATAAATGAATAGTGGTTAAAATAAAATCACTTTAGGCATATAAAAAAGTATTTGCAGTTAACTGGAAAATTAACCTGTGTGAAACACTTCATTTCCTATGGTGCTAGAAATATTGGTTATTACAACATATAAAACAACAGCCATTTAAAATTCCTTATATCTGTCTCTATAAGTTATTAAACTGCTAAACCTTGGAAAACTAATTTATTAATCAACAAATATTGTCCTACTATATTAAAAAGATGATGTTACAACAACATCAGAATACGGAAAAGGATTAAGGGAAACAGAAAAGATTAAAATGCAATCCTTGCCCTCAGGGAGGTCATAATCTAAATAACAAGGAAAAATGTAAGGCAGACTGACAAATGCCATAATAAGTTTGCGCAAAGTTGTTACTGGACATCAGATGAGAGAGATGACTTCTGGGTCAGAGAAGAATGAATCAAGGAATGTTTATGAGAAAAGCAGCATTTCAGATAAATCCTTGAAGATGAATACAATTTTACAAGTCAAATGCTGGAGGTAATCATTACAAATAGAAGAAGTGCATTCCACAAAGTCTGGATGGCAAGAAAAATATAGGAAATAGTAAACAATATTAGTAATAATAGCAAATTTGGTTCCTGTACAAAAGATTAACAGGTAATAACCACAAAGGTAATTTAAGATCAGACCAAAAATAAAAAACTTTAAATACATATTGCTTCTTTTAATCTCCAAAACAATCTTTTGAAGTAAATATTATTGCCCCTGTGGCAGAACAGATTCTGATGACTCCAATAATCTGGCTTCCTCATATCCATTCCCTTGTTCCCCTCCTCTTAATTTGATTCTAACCAATAGAATACGTCAACATTGAGGGGATGTCACTTATGTTATTAGATACAAAAGATTCTGACCTCCATCTTGTTAGCCAGCTCTTTATCTAATTGCTTTAGATGAAGCAAGCTGTCATTTGGAGCATCCCACATCAAAGAAACTGAGAGCAGCCTCTCATATCACTAACAAGGAACTAAGGTCCTTAGTCCATCAGCATGTGAGAAACTAAATCCTCTCCAGTAATAGATGAGCTTAGAAACAGGTTCTTCCCCAGTCAAGCCTTCTGTAAAGACCCTAGTCCTTGCCAACATTTTGTAGCTTCATGAGATACCCTAAAGGTGAGGACATAACCCCTAGATTCCTGACCCAGAGAAAATGTGAGATAATAAATGTGCATTGTTTTAACTCACTGAGTTTGTGGTAATTTGTTACAAAGCAATTGATAACTAATACAGCCACCAATTCACAAATAAAGAAACTAAAGCTCACCAGTCAGATAGGTATAAAACAGCAGATCCCAGATTCACACAAGGCTGTCTGGCTCTAAAGTCTAAATTCTTTGTACTGTATCACACTTCCAGTTTAAGGCACTCAAATTTAAACATTCAATAGCAGTTAATAACAACCAATGTCAAATAAGATATTTATAAGTGGTATTGGTTAATTAACGTGAATAGTTTTTAACAACTTCATAAACAGTCATTGTTTCTTCTTCTACACTAATTTAGGCAAAATAGCAGGTACTACATATCCTTTCTCAGGTAAAAATCCATAGAGAGATTAAGTTACACCATTATTCAGTAACAGTAATAAAAGAATTCCATTATCTTGGTTTCCAACCTACTTATATGCAGATTCCATACTCTAAACCTTCCCATGTAATATTAAAGTATACATGTTGCCTCACAAACAAGATTCATTCCCATTGTTATAATTTTTTTTTAATTACTGGAGTGTTCTGAGTAATAACATCTGACATTAAATTAGTCTCTCATATACTTTAGATTATAATCTTCCTTTAAAGAACATATACTTAACACATTTGAGTTAATTTTCTAGCAATGGAGGTATATTTGATTGAATCATTCATTTTTCTCCTATTTTTCTGGGTTTTGAAACTACAGAGAAACTTACAACATAGTTCACTGGGTTTAGGGAGCAACTATTTTTCTCTCTTGAGAAATGTATAACTTGTTACAGTTTTGTAAACTTCACTCTTACCTACTCTCCTGCAAATGCCCAGGTTAACTAAGCCAGTAGCATTGAGAAAAAAGTATTATCTATTTGGCCAGAAGTAGACTACTATATGATTTAAGGATTTGCAGTAAAAAAAGACATTGGTGTAGAGTTGAAAAAGCAGGAGCTTTGAAGTTAAATCAGTTACAGAGTCTTGGTTCCAACACTAGATATAGTAGCTGGCACATGAACTTCTTTCCCCTTTATCACTCCCTTGGTCACTCCCCACTTTTTTTGGTCTCCAGTGCTCAGTGAAGAAACTTACATGAAGTCAATGAGTAGACTAAATAGAATTCAACTAAAAGCGGCCAGGCATCTTGGCTCACACCTGTAATCTCAGCACTTTGGGAGGCTGAGAGGGTGGATCACCTGAGGTCAGGAGTTTGAGACCAGCTTGGCCAACATTGCAAAACCTTGTCTCTACTAAAAATACAAAATTAGTGAGGTGTGGTGGTGCAAGCTTAGTCCCAGCTACTCAGGAGTCTGAGGCAAGAGAATCACCTGAGCCTGGGAGGTGGAGACTGCAGTGAGCCAAGATCACACCACTGCACTCCAGCGTGGGTGGCAGAGCAAGACTCCATCTCAAAAAAAAATAATAATAATTCAGCTAAAATCAACATAACTAACTACTCTTAGTCACCTACACAATAAAAGTGAATGAGTTAACCCACTTTCTGACATCTGGTGGGGAGGTTAATCTAGACACCATAAATATGTAGAAGCTATGACTTTTTCAGATATGGTTTCCAAAGTTTAGACTAACATTAAAATACTAAACAATTGTCCAAAAATCACAATGTATTGACCCTTTTAAATTGTATAGCAGAAATATTATGTTGTAGAAAGCACAAAGGCTTTGAGTCCTGGCCTGACCCCCAGTTACTTAACCCCTCTGCATCTGCTTTCTCATCTAATAAACCATAATACTGATATTTATCTCACAAAGACTTAAGAAATTAGATTACATATGATGTAAAGTGTCTATGTACTTCACTTTAATGGCTAAATAATATCAGCCCTCCTTCCTTCATTATCTAACATAATTTTAAAGGCCTTCCTTCAAAAAAAGTTTCATGTTCCTCTTTCCCTCAAAAATGTGAAATACGCTAGATATGATGATGGAGTCCATCATTATTGTCTTTTACAGCAAGGAGTAAGGAATTTTTGTCATGATAATGGTACTTATAACTACTTTAAATTTGAAAACAGAACCGAAATGTCTGTTCCACTTTGATTTCACATATGCTTTTTTTCTCTAATACAAATGAATCAGACAGTAGAGTTAAGGGATCATTTACCTGCTTCCATGGATCAAAGCTACACTACCTAAGAGGAAAAAAGATCAGACAACTTGCACTACAGTGATTCCCTCAGAAGTCTGCCCTGGTTTGAGGTTTTTTGCCTCTATCATCTTTACTTCCCACTCAAGTGATCTGAAAGTAGCCAAGGTAATAATTTCCTCTTGTGAACTATTATTATGAAGCTAAAGAACATGTATAATATTGTTCTCAACTTCTTTCATCCATCTTAACTCTGGTTGTTTATTTAAGGCTGATTTATTCTCCATGGAAGAAGCAACAATACCATGCTCCCTTCAGGTATTTAATTTTTATATATGAAAATTAACTTCTCATTTCATTTTCCATTTATTCTGTCAACAAACACTTATTATCATCTACTGTATGCTAAGGACACAATTAGGCTGTAAGTAGAAAGGTTTCCAGATCATTTATAAACTTTGTGAGATTGGTTTCCATGGAAAGG